GAGTAGAAACTGATGTCTGGCCTAGGGTTGTCGCCATGGATAACAGCAAATCTGTGACCCTTTGGCTCCCAGGCAAATGCAATGATTTTGTCGTTCTTGTTGTCAAGCTCCAAAACCTCAATCGGAATGTCCCGTTCTTTGATTCTGAACAGCTCAAAACCAGTGTAAGTGCTTTTCTTAGTCTTCGTGTACCGATCAACTTTGACAGCAAGGTAGTCTCCATTGCTTTGCCAATACATTTTGCAATCACTAACACTGAAGAGATTCTTCTGCCTCAACTCCTCTTTGCTTGGGATTTGCACAAGACTGACCTGCAAGTTAATACAGGTTTAATTCAAATGCAAATACAAGTGGTTCCTCCAAATTAGTGATGACTTGCATAAAAGTTTTAGCACAAACCCTGGCAGGTTGATTTCCGCATTCAGGAACAAAAAGTGCAAGAATTGGATCTGCTGGCGACCAGCTAAAATCCATAACATTTTCAACCTTGATAGATTTCTTGTCAATAAGAGAGAACGTCTCTGTTTCATAAACAGAGATGACATTCTTTCCTATTCTTGCAAAGTACTTGTCTTCTTTACCACCACTCCACCTGAAATCATTTTAAAAAGAAAGTTAAGAAAGTATTCCAGCCCCACTTTTCAATATATTTCTGAGGAATCGTGTATGCACTCAAGCATGCAAGATTTTGCAGATGTTAGATATAACATTAACAACCGGTAGCAGAGAAGGATAGAAAGCATCTCATACAATAGGATCAAAGCTCACCTAAAAACTGGCCACGACACACCAGTAACACCTCCAGTTCCTCCAACTGCAAATTCATCGGCACTTCCCTTGAAATCTCTCATCACTTTCCCAGTTCTCACATCAAAAATATTTAGCACAACCCTCTGAAAGAATTCTGTATTAGAGACAATCGAGTATGGCCACATTCAGATAAACAAACACAATAAAGCTCAGACTTACATGAGTGTCACGGGGATTACTTGGTTCATGGCTGCTGTATGTCACCAGATATCTCTCAGCAAGGGAGAAATCAATCAGTTTTACCTGAATTTAAAGCCAGCAGAGGTAAGTCACAAAAACCTGCAAAGGTTCATTAGAAACTAAACAGAAACTAACCTGTGGATGTGCATATCGCATCAGACGGTTGAAAGTGGTGGCACCACCCCAAATTGCAGCACCTTGTCTGTGAACTGTTGCCAAATACGTTCCCAGAGGGGACCATTGCACAAAACTCTCAGTCCAGAACTGCACTCAAAGAGACATCATTAGCAAAAGTTCAGTAATTACCCATCTGAATAAAAGAAATAAATATCTTTTAAAGAAACAGTTACTGTACAAGACCCATTTCGAATTCTGAAAATATGAGACACTAAACAGTACAAAGAACCCCATGAATGGACAGCTAAATGAGCACAAAGAGGAAATAATTTCACTTACAGAACGTTTGTAAACAAGCTCAGGCTTCAACTGTCTTGCATCATTCCAGAGGACCTCTGTGTCATTGCCAGCCCGAATCACAAACTGGTCTCTAGCTTTCTCATCAGTAAGCCACTGTTGCAGATTCTCCTGCCAGGATACAAACATCTCAATGTTAGCAGATGAATGAAAAACTAATATTTAAGACACATAGTGCTCGCCGGAGAAAAAAGACAGCTGGTGAAGAGCCTAACCCCTGGAACATAAGGCTTGATCTCTGGTGGAGCCCACTCATCAGGAACTTTCAGGAATTTCTCAATGTCATCAAACATGTTAACAGCAAATATATGCGACCTATCTAACTTGTATCCATGTGTCTTCTCCTTACTCAGCTCAGCTTCCTAAAAGCAGAAAAACATAGCAACATAACACTGGTTAACATCTCTCTGTAATTCAGTTACAAGTCTCACGCATTGTCTAAAGAAATGAGCTGCTAAAGAGAAAAAAATGGAGTACCTGAGGAGTATTATACTCGATGAAGCAGTACCCTAGGGTTTTCTGAGTCTCAGGATCAACAGGCATCCAGAGACCATCCTCCTTAATAACACCAAGTTGGCTGTAAATTTTCCGAACTACTCCTTCCAACTTCTCAAATTTCTCTTTAGGCACCACAGGAAGATTGTCCACCACCAGTATGTTCCCAAAACCAGCATCAAACTCCAAGGGGTCCTCCTCCATTAAGTCATCATCATCACTGATAATATCCAAATACCATGCAAATTCAAAACCAAAGGAAACACTACAAAACCCATTTTCATAGTATATCAACCAAAGAGAATTTAAACTCTACAAACCATTTCTTTATCGGTATGAACCAAAACCACGATTACAAACTAAAAGAGCCTAAACTTCAAACAAAAGAAACCAAACCAAGCAAAACACATAAAAATTCATACATAAATTAAGGTATTACGCAGTGTCTGAAAATACAAATGGAGATATCAAATCCCCAAGAGAAACGCTAAAAACTATATCTTCTCAACATATGAACAGAACTCAAGAGAATGCAAAAACACATAAAAATCCATATATAAATCGAGGTTTTTTAAATGGTAGTGAATCTATAACTCGACATATTCAAGACTCGCAAAATGCAAAACTCAACATATTCAAAATCCATAAATAATTCAAAACATTCATAACCACAAATGCAAAACCCAAGAAAACAATAAAAGTCTAATCTTCACAACATATTAACCGGCCTTGCACACTCAATAGAGGAACATTGACAAAATCCAAACTTCACAGCATAGAAAAGAATCCCAGACATATATGTCCATATAAAAATTAACATATTGAACTGGATATAAACATAAAATAAAAACATCAAACTCAAAAACCCAACAAAAACACTAGAAATTTCTAATCTTCAAAGCATATGAACCAAAACAATAAACTCAAACTCAAAAAAAATTAAAAAGACCCAGACTTTACAGCAAAGAAAGGAAACCCATAAGCATCACCACATAAAAGGGGCATATATAAATCATAAAAATGCAGAAACACAAAAAAAATAAGGGAAAGTCAAGATTTAAGACCTGGGTATGCCACAATCTTCACCAGGAGGAAGATGAATGGAGTCAAGATCGATTTGGGAAAGATCCACACCAATCCTAGCGGCTATGGCTGTGATTTCTCCCATAGACGTAACGTCCGCCATGATTGGAACTCTCTTCTCTTTGTTTAGCTTTCTTTCTATGCTCTATATGGGATGGTGCGTATAGGAGAGAGATAGCCACCTTTGAAACTGAACGCAGAAGTGTTAGCTTAGAGATAGAGGCAAACTGCACGCATACGAAGAAAGGTAGGGTTTTTCTGTAGCTCTTATTGGGGTTACGCTATTTTTTTTATTCCGGGTAAATGGGTCGGTTAAATGGGTCGGGTAGGGAGGAGGATCTTTTTTGAAGAATTAATCAAAATAGTTGTTTATCTTAAATTAAAATTAGTCAATGAATATATAATTTATGTATAATAGATATAATAATATATAATTAGTAAATAATTTATATATTTTTAGTTAGAAAAAGTAAACAATGAATATGACTTTTTAGGGGGAAAACCTAAACCTTGTGTTTAGGTGTGTAAAAAAAAAATTGATAAATCGCATTATACTGATAATTCTAGTTAAATCGAAAAAAAAACTCGACTAGTGTTCAGTACGATATGATGTGTTATTTGAAAAGAAATGATCATCATTAGTTTGGTTTGATTTTTAACTACAAAAAAAAGTGAAATTGAAATCAAACAAACCTAACATCACATGTATATGATTTTTAACAGTATTTTACCCATACAAATATTTAGTACGATATAATTTAAAAAACATCTTTAAACTTTTTCTTTATTTTTTTCCTTTTAAAATATTATTTCAGAATTGGATTTAGAATTTTTGAATGGTAATAGGTTTTATAGCTCATAAATGTTAATAACTCAAATAAAGTCGAAACTAGAATTATATCGATATTAATGCTAAAAAAAAAATTTAATTCAACACTAGAAATGGTAATAGTGTTAGGTATTTATTTTTTATTTTTTGCATTCATTTAGATAATGAAAATGTATAACTTGGTTTTTTTTATTATTTAGTTGTGTAATTAATACTTATTAGCCGCATTTATTTTAGTATTACATAATACTTTTAGATTATGATCATTTTTATTATGGCTTTTTAATTAGTAATATTAATTTTATGAGATTTTATTATCTTTATTGTTGAATATATTAGTACAATACCATGATGCATCACACATTTTTTGTAATTTTCTTGGAAAATATATTATATAGTTATATCTTACTAGGACTAAAAACTTTTAGAGTACGAGATATATATTTTATGATATGAAGACTTTATCGAAAAAAGGAATTCAAATAAACTTGAAGATCGAGATTGAAAAACTTGACTTTCGTTGGTTGTATTTGGTTTGATTTATTGATTTGGTTAATTGAATTTATTATCATGAAATTTGAGAATTAATCGAACTGAATGCAAACAAGGAGAGAAAGAAAAAGAAAAATAGAAATAAAGGGCAAAAGAGTAAAATGAAAAAGTAAATTAGAAAAGAAAAGAAGATCTAAAATCAAAATATAATATGTGCCCATGAGGTCTCGACCCAAGGAACCAAGTAGTGATTTTGTCTATGGGTACCAACTCCACCATATAGCAATTTTGTTGAAAGTTATACATAAAATTTATTATTATAAACAAAGTGGATGAGATAAAAGACTATTGTTGCCTCTATCGATTAGTGTTCATTGTATACTGTAAACTATAGAATCCATGCACTGCACACCAATAATGGCTTCCCAGCTCCTAACCCTCTGTCCAAATATTCTTCTTAGCCGAAGGAGTCAAAGAGCTACTGCAAGCTTCAGCTCTAGGCCAAATAGTGTGCCAAATATTCATATCAACCATAAGAAAATAAAACCATACATGCAAACTAGTCACGGTTCATCTATTACACGTTCTTTTTCAGATTCGACAAACTTTTCACTACGCATTGTCTTCAAAGGTTTATTTCTCATTTTATACACACCTATACTCTTATTGCTCTTCAAATCTGCCCTGGATTTTTTTTTTTTTTTCCTTTCTTTCAACTGAAACAAGAACTTGAATGAGTATGATGTAAGAGGATGAATCAATATTGTTGAAAGAAACTTTAAAAAGTAGATAAATTTTAGATTTGCTTCTTTTGGGTGAAACTTTTGAGAGCTTGGCTCTTGATTTCTTTTCATGTAGTCAAGAGCGGCTAAAAAATAAGTGACCTAAAGTCAAATTTTAATATAAGGTCATACATTTTTTATATTAGAATTCATACATGCACGCACGCATACATATGCAAAAAAGCTATTGTTACCATTTTCCGTGCTTGTTGTGATAGTATAATATTCTTAAATGATATAAAGCCTTTAACTTTACATAGTAATAATATTATTTATATTAGTAAGCGATAATTTGAGTAAATAAAACATTAGGCATGTATTTACAATATATTTTCTTTGATAATTTTATAAAAATTATATTTACTAATATGAAAATGTAAGTAGTTTAATTCAAAGTTCTAAAATATTTTACTGTTAAAGAATAGATAATCTCTTTTTCTTTCTTTTTTACAAAATATTTGTACTTTTTATTTTTTTCTACAAACTTTAATATTGTCTAAGCTAAAATAAAATCATAAATTTAGTATAAAAAATTTTTGGGGCCTCAAATCTCAATCAAGGCTTTACTAGCCACCCCCTTTAGCCAATCATCTATCCCTTAGATTCACAATTGAATTTTATATAGTCTCAATTAAAATAAGACAACAATGACAAGAACATTAAAGACAATGAATGTGTCATTCAATTAACAAGTGCGAATGAAGTTGGTCGAACAACATGTTCATTGGGTAATGATTTCAACGAAATTTGGTGGTTAAAATCAAAATATATTAAAAGACCCCTGAACTTTTTTTTATAAAATCCAATATAATAATAATACACTACAAAATAAAAGGAACTTCAACAAATTGACCACAACCAGTAAACAAAAGGGAACTTCAATAAACTAACCACGATTAGAACTTTACACAAATAAAATTACCTCCATGGAATAAAAAATCAGAAGTTTACCCAATAAATGAGAGAATAAGTGAGAATCAAACAGAATAGAGTTCCAACTGATATAATTGAAAAGTTCCATCAAGAATTTGCTCATTTAGAACACTCAAAGTATCAAAAAAATGGAAGAGGAACCAGTAAAATTTCACTAAAAAGATACCCCAACAAATATCCAAAAGATCAAGTAACAGAATCTCTCGTCTAACCCAATCACCCAAACGATCTTCACTTGAATAAAGCTCAACTAGCCAAAGATTCACATAGGAGAATTTTACTAAGAATATGGTCCTTAGATATTAACTAGACTCCAAATCATAAAATGAAAAGTAAAAAAATAATTTTGACCAAAGAAAAGAAAATTGTCAAAACCTGGAATGCTTTAAAATCTACCCAATCGAAGTCTGATGAACAAGAAATCATAAAATTTTGACCGAAAATATCGAGCCAACATCAGAAATGAAACCCCGAGTTGATTCCCTCGTACCTCCATGTACCAAACATGGTCTATGACTTCTGACGAACTTTATGAAGCAACGCCGACGAATCAAATGTCTCTGCTCTGTTACCATGTAAAATATGACATTTGGGACTAATTCAACCCCAAAAACTAGCTCATGAGGGGAGGATTGCCCAAATTCATATAAATAGACTATCAGTCCATTTTCCAACCAATGTGAGACTCTGACCCACTACAACATAATGAATGTAGACATACTTTTATGTAATGTACATAGCTAATAGAATTATAGGTATTCGTAATAGATTTATAGGAACTCGTTTTTTATTCTTTCTATAGTTAGGGCTATATGTACTTGTATATATACTTGTTACTTCTTGCAATAATACACAAGGAGATTGCTCTATTTTCTCTGTATTTTACATGCTATCAGAGTCAGGTCCATTTTTGTTTGGGCCCTTATGATGTATAGTACATGCTCCAGTTGGTGGTCTGGGCATGCGAGGGGGTGTTAGAGTGGGTCAGAGTTCCACATTAGTTGGGGAATGGATTGATTGTCTATTTTTATGGACTTCCCCTCGTAAGCTAACTTTTGGGATTGAGTTAGGCCAAAATGCCATACTTTACAAAAATATTTGGTCAATAATCAGAAAATTGCTTCTTCCCTAGGTTTACAGCTAGAAATGATGATGGTAGACCTTTTCGTTAATGTTTATGTGGTGCAGTCATTGTGTGTACCCATAAGCCAAAAAAAATTCGAGCTTATGCAAATGTCGGATGCTTGTAAGATACGAGGCGCGAAAAGGGTCACTGTTGTGGTTCCATATTTTGGACATGCTCGAATGATAAGGTTTTCTATTATATCACGATTTTTTTTGTATCTTGTTAATTGTACTACTCTAACTATTTTTTTCTTCTCCAGATGGAAGGCTATGAATCATTCACAACAAAGTTTTTGGTTAAAGTATCAACCACTTCATCTTCAGAATCAAATTCAGTGAAATTGGGACATTTGAGTACTCTCGCTTGTTGGCTTTTGTGACCTCCTTACTCTGCTGTGAACCATTCAGTTAAGCTGAGGTTTCATGTTCAAAGGCATGCTGGTCTTTATTCACACTATTAGCTGCTTCAACAGTCACATTTAATTGATTATGGTACACATTTGCATTGCTGTTAGATTATGTGTCTTCATGAGTATTTACACGTGAATTTGCTTTTAAATTGTCTTGTTCCTACTTAGAATGAAAAGCATTTTGCATTTTGAGTTGGGGGATCTTTAGGGTCTGTAGTACATTGATTAGCCTCCCCTCCACTATTGTTTTGAAAAGTAATCACTACAACCCTCTTTTGATTCATCAATTCCTGTGTTCCAAATCAAGGACGACTATAGGGTAAGGCAGGCAAAACCCTTGCCTTAGGCCCCCAAATATTTAAGGTCCAAAAATATATAATTTATATTTATATACTAGTTAATAAAAAAAATTCAAGTTTTAATATTTTTTAAAATTTGGTAGAGATATGATTGAATGAGTTAATATGATACATCTTTTCTCTCATTAAATTAAACAATATATTTACCTTTTTATCAATTTTAATTTTCTTCTATGTATACTATTTTTCACCTTTCTTACGATTTTACTTTCAAATTTTAACGCAAATTCTCTAAATTAATTATTTCTTTTGGAATATTCATACGTCAAAAAGTAAGTTCTTTTGTGTCTATTTTCTTTAACTAAGAATTTTTTTGAGGC